TTAGAGAAACCCTGTGCACTCTCTAAAGAGTATAAAATCCAATGCAATATATATATGCCTTACTGTTGAATTGTACATCTGAAGCTGGATTTCATTAACCAATGTCATCATAATAAAAATAAATAAATAAGTTTAAAAAAAAAGTGTAATATAGTTCAGCCACTAGGTAAAACAATTGATGGTTCCTCAAAAAATGAAAATTAGAATTATTGTATGATCCAACAATCTCACTTCTAGGTATGTATCCTAAATAACAGAAAGCAAGATCTCAAGGAGATATTTACACACCCATGTTCATTGCAGCATTATTCACAATAGCCAAGAAGTGGAGGCATCCCAAATATCCATCAATGCATGAATGGATAAGTAATATGTGGCCTATAACAAAAAGACAAATTCTACTTACATGAGGTATCTAATGTAGTCAAACTCAAGAAAACAGAAAATAGAAGGGTGGTTTCAAGGGGCTGGAGAGAGGGGGAAAATGGCAGTTGTTCAATAGATATAGAGTTTCACTTTTACAATGAAAAAACTAGAAATTTTTTTTGCTACAATACAAATATAGTTAACATTACTGAACTGTACACTTAAAAACAGTTAAGATGATAATTTTTGTTATTTTTTCCCACAATTAAATTTTTTTCTAAAAAATGAAAAATAAGGAAAATAAAAGTACCTGCTCCGCTTTTGTGTTGATCACAACCAAATGAGCCCCCAGCCTAACACAGTTCTGCTCACTCTTAGTCCAAAAATTCTGTTCAGTAGAAACGAAGTAGCAGCTGGAACCAAAAGACTTCCAAGTACTTGGGCAACATCCCCAGACCTTTTCTATGTTACATGAAAGAGAAGGGTGAGTGCAAGATGAGACAAATAAGACTGAAGAGGTATGTTCTATGCACATAAAATTTCAAGGATCTGAGGTTCTTTTCTAGAGATGGGCTTCTTAATTCATGTATTTATTGTTTCCTAAATTATATAACTTGGGGCCATAAAATTATTTTTAAATAAACATTTTTAACATTAAGTCCTCAATATCCACTAAGGTTTACCTGCGGAATTCCTCTGGATTTCTTTTTCTTTTCTTTTCTTTTCTTTTTTTTTTTTTTTTTTGCCAAAAATGACTATCATTTATTTTTGTTCTTCATATTTCTTATATATTAGCTGCAGTTACAAATGGCTAACAAAAGTTAATCTGGAATGTCAGTTCTACTTAATAATCTTGGGCAAGCCACAGAGCTCTAAGTTTTTAAAATGAAGATGATAATTCCCCACAGGGTGGTAATGAGAATTAGAATTATGCCTTATTAGAACTCTGGCTCCACCAGTTATTATGTAAGCCTTTGGGAAAATTATACAACCTTCCTGAGCCTCAGTTAGTTCATCTTTAAAATGGAAATAATAATAGTACCAACCTCAAAGGGAAACTAATTCACATGATATGTGTAAGGCACTTTAAAAGGTGCTTAACATGAAATAAGTGCTCATAAATGTTACCTGTTACTATTTTTTAACACAGTATCAAGCATATAAGAGTTTTAAAAATTATCATTTCTCTCTCCTTTCCCCTTAGAAACATCAGTTTGCAACTCTCCTAGAATTAAAAAAATCTCTAGTTAACCATATTTATAACCAATAACAACTTTTGGTTGTATATATACAAATACATGTTTATATATAATTTGAGCACAGATATGTGCATACCTAAATAATAAATTGTTTTGACTTGTTGAGTTTTAAATGTTTTACAAAGTATGATATATATGGTCTTCTTGGGCTTAATTTTTCATTGCACATTGCTAAGATTCATTAGTGTTGTTATATGTAGCCTTATTTTAGTCATTTTTAAATGCTATTACATCATTACATATTAAATGATGAGAAACAACCTATAAAGTTATTCTTCCTTCTATAATATTATAAAATGAAAAAAAATAGACTATATCTATATCATGTTAATATTGGCCACTTTTAGAATTTATCTTAATTATACATTCTGTTCATTATTAAAAGTTGATTTTTTGTAATACATTTACAAAGTGTGTATTAACATATTATTTTAATTTTAAAAGCCAATTGAGTTATATATGGCAAACATTTTTCATATGTTGAATATTACAAATCTCCAGCTCCAAGGCTGACAAAAATATTGAAAGTTGTGATGAATAGAAGCATTTGTCAAAAAGATATACTGACATTAATAATATCTTAGTTTCTCAATTGTGCTGAGAATAATGAGCTGGTCAAGGTGTTTTGTAAGTATAAAAATATATATAATTAACTGTCATATGATAATACTTATAAAATCCTTTTTTTGGTATAATTGCCAGAAATTGAAGAAGCAAATGGTTATTGACTTAGAAATAACAAGACTTTTGCAAATTATTCCATTTATTATTGTATATATTCAACAACCGTGAAGAATCATCTACTCAAATTCTCAATTAATAGATCATTAGAAATAAGTTTTGATACTAGAACACTATGATTTTTGGCAAATAACTCTAAAAATATTGGATGACATTCGAACCGAGTATTTTCTATTCCTATAAATTTATTTAAATAAGTAAGGTTTATCAGATTGTGTTGTTAAAGTGAAAAATAAGTCTAGAATTGATGAATTTCAAACTCAGTCTAGTAATAATATTATTCAATTGTAGGTACATCTGATTGCATTTTTTTAAAAAGTCCTATTCATCTTCGAGAGATGGGCTTCCAATAGTTTATTAGAAATAATTTATCAAAATTTATAATAAATTTGTAATGTCTGTAGTATTGTATTCTGACTATTGTAATGTCAATCCAGAAGAAATTTTATAACACTTAAAGCTTACTGTTCTGTAGGAAATAAAAATATTAGACATATTCTTACTTATTTTATTACAGACATATTTTGGCAGATGGGGGAAATGCTATGTAAATATTGTCCAAGGGAGGAAAAGAGTGATATAAAACATGTGACTGTTAAATAATACATGTTTTTCTTTTATTTTATAAGCATGATGGGAGTAGACATAACACTTTGTGATGGTATTTAGACACTAGTAGATACATTTTAAAAAGTTTTGTTTTTATATTTAATATTTACAATGTCCTAGAAATTAAAGCTTTTGCTTTTATTACATAATGAAAAATTTTAGATGTCAAATTAAATTATATAAGAGGAATATAGTTTTCAAAAATCTTTCTGGGGGGTTGGCAAGCAAAAGAAGTCAAAGACCACAGGTGTAAGCAGAGCACAGGCTTATTGAAGAAACTGTTACATTATCATGCTTCTAAATGTCTCAAAAGCTATGACTGGACTGAGTAGGAAAACAAATTGAAGAAAATACAATGTGGATTTCAATTATTTAACTTTAATCAGAATGGAAATTTGGTGTTTGGACTTTTATTTTTCTTTTTCATTGTAATAATAATTTGAAATGATATTGTTAAAATCTGAGAACTTTTATTTGTTGATATGGTATTATATAAAATAATTTTATCATATAAGCTTACCTGTAACTTGAATTAATTGTATTGAACAGCCTGGTTGACTGCAATGTTAGGTTGGATATATTTAGAGAGTAAATTTGCAGTCTCTTATGCTAGATGGATGTGGGATTAATTTAATTAAATCTATCTCTGTCTCATTCATTTCAGAGCATTCTGATAGCTAAGGCTAAATGTGCCATTGCTGCTTCTAGGTAGGTAGTCTTTACGACTCTAATTATTGTTATAGGAGTGTCTCCAAAAGATGGGAGGGAGAAGATACTGATGGAATTATTTTTTTCTCCCCAGAAAAGCCAGCTCTACAATTGTTTGACCAAAAAAACCCCCAATGTGACCAGAAAACCATATCAGAAAGAGTAAAGAAAATCATCCCTCACCATCCCTTCATGCACCACATTCTTGCCAAATGCCCTAAAAGGAAAAATCCCGACATCTCATAGAAATACAAATAAACTTCTGTCCTCTCTTTACCTCTCATAAAGCAGGGAAGTGAATTATTTAGTTCTTGAAATACCAAGAGTCTAATATCTATTTGTATATATCTTTACTTGGAAGGTGTAAGGCCATAAAGACCCCGACAAACATGCACTTTGCCTTTCTTTGGCATCTCTCACTAGACATAGTGCAAGGCAAATTGTGATTCTGAATTCAACTTCCCAACTCACTACATACGAAGGTAACAGGACTACATTTTAAAGTGAGGGCAGTCTCATCCTGAGCCATGTTCCAGCATCCAAAATGACTGGTAATAAAGTTGATACTTGGGGTGGAGAAGGGTGTTATTAACTAGGAAACTTAGATTTAAAAAAAAAGAAGAGAGAGAATTTTATCCAAATGATAAGGATCAGAATAATTTGAAACCAGAACTTTTATGTGGTGTATGTTGGCAGCATTTATTGAGATCAAGAAGTCTGGAGGAGGAATTTTTTTAAGGATAAATCTGGAGCCTGATATGAGCATATAAATTTAGAGATATTTTAAAGATATCCATGCAGAGATTATATTTTAAAACAACAACAAGAAGAAACCAAACTTGAGCTCAATCCCAACCTCTCTCTGAGAAAAGAGAAAGTCTGGTTAAGAATTATAACACCTTACCTGTTACCCCTGGCCCTTCACTGAAGCAGGTTAGACTTGAATGGTATGTGTGTAGTTCAGACAGCCTTTTGTCAGCTTTGCCATATGTAAAATGATAAGTCACTGTGAAGGAAGAAGAGAGACTAGCATCCATTCATTCTTTTGCTATAAAGTGTTATGCTCTATAAATCTATGCAAAGCAAGCTTTCCTCCAACCTCCAACTTTTCCTCTATGCAAGTCCAATGAAGACCATGTTGAATTACTGCTTATTTGTGTTCATTTATCAAAAAAGCATGGCATTCCAAGTAGGAGCTAACACATTAACGGTGTAAAGGAGAGCATACCCTAGGGAATCCTCATAGACTAAGATAGAGAAAGGTATGAAGAGAGTGGCACCTCAGTGCACAACTTACCCACACAGTTTATAATGAAACAAGTGCTGAGGAGTGCTATGGAAATCACAGCAACAGACCAGAGCCTCACTTGGGAGCACCATACTGTTTTCTCTGTCAGAACAGCAAGACAAATGCAGTTACCAGGGGGCTAGGAAGTCAGAGTTCCTAAGAAGCTTAGAGCAATGAAGAAACCAGATGAAGAATCTCAGATTAATTAAAAACCTAAAACAAGAAGAGAGCTTAGAAACTCCCTCAGAATAAATGGCCGGGCAGTGGCTCTGAAATCCTAATCAAGTTGGGCAAAACTCATTCTCAGCTGTCATTTCCCCTTTCTTTTACTTTCTTCTTAAATAATACACTCATCCATGGATTCCTCACCTTTCTTAAAACATCATTTTTGTCTTCTACTTCTCATACCACTGTATGAATATTTGGTTTCTGATTCTTTCAAGTACTAGCTCTGGGGAATAATTCTTCTTCTTCTTCTTCTTCTTCTTCTTCTTCTTCTTCTTCTTCTTCTTCTTCTTCTTCTTCTTCTTCTTCTTCATTACAACTTCCATTTATTTCATGT